ACTACCAATCAGAACATGACACATACACAAGGCAGAGATACATGAGGGCAAGGGAAGCATGACACAAACAGCATGAAACAATTACAAAATAAAAGACATGAAAACATGAACATGAAACAAAACCCCACATTACAGCAGGCTGTTTAATTGTTAAGGATGTTTCTAATCAGTTTGGAACTGAGGAAATAACAACAATCAAGAGAAAAAGCAGATAGTATTCCTGTAAACATACTGCTTGCTAAACTGCATCAGCCTTTATATTGTGCAAAACTGTTTGACACAGGTCTCCGTCATGCTGAAGGTGCAGTCTGAGAGGTAGCAGTTCAAACGCTTACTTCAAGACAGGCTCATTTAATCATTTCACTCTTCAATTCCCATGATGGCTCTGACCTGCCTTTGTGAGTCTGTGAATGGATCAGACCAGGATTATGTGCTCTGCAACAGCACTACATTCAACTTTATCGGCAATGAGAGTGGACGCTGTCACCTTCAGACCATGGATGAAGTTCTGTTTAGGCTTCTGGGCCCTAGACGATCTTCTTTCTTCTTCCCCGTAACCTTTACGTACATCCTCATCTTCATCACAGGGGTCTTGGGAAACCTCCTCACTTGCACTGTGATCACTAAAGACAGGAAGATGCGGACACCCACCAACCTATATCTTTTTAGCCTGGCCATCTCAGACCTGCTGGTGCTGATCTTCGGCATGCCACTGGAAATCTACGAGCTCTGGCAGAACTACCCCTTCCCCTTTGGCGAAAGCATCTGCTGCTTCAAGATCTTCTTATTTGAGACAGTTTGTTTTGCTTCTGTGCTCAACGTTACAGTGCTGAGCGTGGAACGCTACATCGCTGTGATTCACCCGCTCAAAACCCGCTACGCGATTACAAACAAGCACGCTCAAAGGGTCATCACTAGCGTTTGGGTTCTGTCCCTGATCTGTGCCATCCCAAACACTTCGCTTCATGGCCTGCAGTACCAGTACCTGCCAGAGAGGGTTCTGGAATCAGCTACCTGCAACCTGCTCAAGCCCAAATGGATGTATAACTTGGTGATCCAGGTCACCACTGTGCTCTTTTACTTCGTCCCCATGATGATGATCAGTGTGCTCTATCTGATGATTGGTCTGACACTGGGCAGGGGACAGAAGCAGAGGAAGGACAAGCTGGACAAGAACCAAGACAGCTGGAAAATCCATCTGGACAGCAGACGGAGGAGGCAGGTCACCAAGATGCATTGTGAGTGATGACCATATCCCTTATATATACGACTTTTGTTTATATGATAAATTATTTTTTTGCATAAAAAATGAGGAAGGCCACACAATGCTGAAGGCAGTATTTCTCATGCATTTCACTCTATTTCCAGTTAAATTAACACCAAATTAACGGTTAGGTTGAAATCTATGAGTAATATACTGCATAGTAAAACTAAGGCAGTGAGTTATGCAAGATATGGTTCAGAGAAGAAACAAAAGCCTTTTTATTTTCAACAGGTTTTCACGTTTATAAAATGTTTTAAAACATAACATTTCCTTTTGTTTAATTTTGGACATTATTATGGCAAATCCAATGGCATAGCAAATACAAATCCCACTGTAAAAGCTTGCTGAGGATCACTTAGATGTCTGAAAACATCCATCTGGATGCCTTTCCCTAATGGCGATGATACTATTCCCAGAGCATCTTTCAGTTTTTAGCAGGTGTTATGATCATATAATGGTTCTCTGCTCTGGTAAGACTCGCAAAGTAAAGTGAACCAACATGGCGAATGGGACCTAGAAGCAAGACACTTTCATCTACTTTTATAGTGCATGTGTCTATACAATTACAAACTGTCATGGCACAAATTATTCATTATTAAAGCTATTCAATTATAGACTCAACTATAAGCTCACCACATTGATATTTTAGGGTATATTTATATAGCTAGTGTTTGAGAGAAGATTTAGCAGTGCTTTTTTATTCTGAAAAGGAAAGTGCCTCATGATTTCAGAGCTTGCATTTTGATTTGACTAAAAATTGTTTTATAAAAATGAAAACCTTTTGTACTAATAAAATAAAAGTTTTTTTCATGCCTCGCATGACAGTTTTACTGTATATAATATAACTGTTAGATTGCAACCTAACAATTCATTCTGTTTCAATGTCAGGGAAAATAGAGTGAGACCTGCAGCCTGCAGCACTCTACTGATTACATTTCATTGAATAAACAATTAGTCCACATTATAAACATTTTATGGTTGGATAGTATATAGTCATTTTTAATTGATTTAGGGAATGATTTACATTTTAATTGAATAATTTGATTTAAAGTTTTCTTCTTCACCCTAGCAAAACGCCAGAAAAATTAATTCAGAAAAATGTAAACCACTGCTAAACAACATAATTGACACTGGGGTGTAAGCAGATCGTACAAAAATGAGCATATGAGAGATCTTACAAATTTATATATGAATATATTTATATATGAATATACATTTTTATATTAATTAACCTCCAATTCACCAAGACGTAAAATAGTTATGAATTGCCATGAGACTGTGTTGGATTTTCAGTACAGTCGATAACTACAAGATGGTGACATTATGCTTTGTATAAACCAAGAGAAAGTGATACAACATGTGTGAAAGTAACGTCAGTTTCAACTGGATTGGTTGCCATGGATGCTGGTGAATATTAAGCCAGAAACATATTTAACGCAAGTATGTGAACTTGTGCTTGCCAGGTCATGTACTTGCATTTGGTAATGAATCGCATGTCTCCATATTCTGCAACACAATGAGGCATTAAGAGAATCTTGCATCACTAGAAGCTAATAACTGAATAGCACTTGCATAAAGTATGTGGCCTAAATACAGCTGACCAATCAGAATCAGGTATTCTAGTGGGGGATTGAGATGCCAGTGGAGCTCTGGGAATGATGCCTGAAGGGTAGTCTGTGGATCTGAGGGCTTGCTTTTACAGTTGATTGTAACATTGATTTACTTGATTTATTCTCTCTCTCTTCCTATAGTTTTGGTTGTATTAGTGTTTGCCATCTGCTGGGCTCCATTCCACATCGACCGACTCTTGTGGAGCTTCATCACGAGTTGGACGGACCACATGCATAACATATTCGAATATGTGCACATAATCTCAGGAGTGCTCTTTTACCTCAGCTCCGCCGTTAACCCCATCATCTACAACCTTCTCTCCAGTCGTTTCCGGGAACGATTTCAAGCGCTGGTGTGCAGTCGCCTGCCATCGAGCTCTTCTCGTAATGACTCGACGCCTTTCTACATCATCCCCAAAGACCCCCCACTGATCTCCAACATTCAGGCTAAGAGCAGGAACGCGGACGGCTCACATCCTTTTGTCATTATCAGCAGCAGGTGGGAACCAGAGAATGAATGCTTTCATGTGAGACAACATGATCTGTGATCTCACATGGGAAGCCTAGGTTACCTCTCACTAAGGACAGAAAAAGACTAAGATGTGAAATGTGTCAATTACAATACTATGTAAATAATAGGCAGTTCCTTAAAATACATGTGAATAGACACATACTGGGTTTGGATTAATATGGTCTATCAGGCTTTTTGAAGCTAAAGACCACCTTAAGCTAATGATAACCAACGTAGTTATCTTGTCCAAAGAAAAAAAATTAGAATGAAAATAAAACACTGTACAGTTCTGCAGAAGAGCCACAGCATTCATGGTCAGTATTACGGTTCGTGTGGACATTAGTGAAATAACAGGAGACAACAAGGTCATTGATTAATAAATATCAAAACTGCTGTTATGCATCTGTTTAAAAATGAAATTGGACATCTGTATAATACATATGAAGTCTGTATCAGCTGTTCTGTATAATCAACTACATGTTAAAGGGATAGTTCACCCAAAAATGAAAATTACCCCATAATTTACTCACCCTCAAGCCATCCTAGGTGTATATGACTTTCTTCTTTAAGACAAATCCAATTGGAGTTATTTTTAAAAACGTCCTGTCTTTTCCAAGCTTTATAATGGCAGTGAATGGGTGTTATTGTTCAATAGTCCAGAAGAAGTCCAATAGAGTGCATCCATCCATAATAAAAAGTGCCTCACACAGCTACGGGGTTGAATAAAGGCCTCCTGTAGCAAATCGATGTGTTTTTGTAAGAAAGATATCCATATTTAACATTTTATAAACAGTAATCTCTCACTTCCATTAACTGTCGTACATGCGTTCACAATAGAACGCTGTTCTGTTGGATGACGTAGGACGTCGGCGTATAGCGTAAGTTAGGAAACAAAGTTTCCTTACTTTATCAAAGGAAAGCCAGTCTCTTCTTGGCTTACATCGAAATCCGACATTTTTCTTTACAAATTCCAAAGTTTTGTACTTATAATTCATGACCAGTGTTTGGTTTGCTCTCTCCTCTGCGCTTCCGCGTTTGTCACTTTTCACTGGAGCTTACTCTACGCCGACGTCCGCCTGCAATGGCATTCTATTGTGAACGTGCGTATGTCAGTTAGCGGAAGCTAGAAATTTCTGTTTATAAAGTTTTAAGTATAGATATTTTTCTTAACCCTCAAATGGTCCTCGTTTCCTGTTTACACGTAAGTCCCTTGGGGTCAATATGACCCCAAACATTGAAAGCGTAATTGTGAAAAATATATACATTTTTAATCATACAAATAATATATAATTTTTTTTGTTTACTTCTCATCTATACATTAATGCTGTGTTTTGGGAGATATGAAGTACTTTTGTACCTATTTACCACAAAATTCCTCAACTACACCATTAGCTTGCATGTGAAATATTAATTTTTTATGAAAAAATCACCTAAATTTAATTTAAGTTGCTTCTGGATATTGATCTAGGTGTTAGGTGTAGAATTCTGCCATCTGCTGGTTAGAAATAAACCTAAAAGGATTACAGTTTAGGAAAGAAATTGTTTTGACCAGCAGAGGGCCATAGAGAGCCATTAATTTTACTGGATGTGGCCAACTGCTTCTATCACAACTTTTGTGATACATTTTGTGAATTTATGTATATATAAACATTAGAAAAGACATTAAAAATAAATATTCTTTCAAATGGTATAATTGTTTTGTGGTTTTTGATGCATTTTGAAATGTGCCACAGAAATTTGACAGAAAAATGCCACATAAGACACCTAAAGGACAAGACTTAAGGCCCGTTCACACCAAGGACGATAACTATAAAGATAACGATAAAGATATAGTTCTAAAAATCGTTCTCAATATTAAAGAATAGCAGAGTCCACACCACAACTATAACGATAAAAGCCCTGTTCACACCAAGAACGATAACTATAAAGATAACGATATTAGCATCCACACCAGCGAACAATATCGTCTGTTTATTCTAAGCGCACGCGCGTCTGCCGCTTTAAATTCTTGAGCTCGTTACAGCAGGATGGATTCT